GAGAGGCACAGCTTGGCAAGTGCAACGTGTTCTCATTGCATTACATTATATCAATATGACCTTACAACATTACAAGTACACGTGGAGGTCTTCTTTATCTTAGATAATAATCTCTTGATTATTTGTGTAGTAGAACATTCTGATGTACATTATATTTGTAACTTTGTATGATCATAACCTGTGACTGTACCGATACTTTACCTACATGTACGACATGAACATTCCATATAAACTAGTCAAGTGTACGCCTACTTGTACATTGTGTGTTTGAGCGAGGCAGAAGGGCGTTAAAGGTAAAGAACAGTATTGGAAACACCCCAATTTAAAAAAATGAAATGGAAGCTCTCATTACCAATCATGTGAAAGAATATGTTTTGACTAATACATGATGATAAAAAATTTGCCGGGAAACCGCCTAATTCATATATTTGGTAAATTTGTTTCTCTCATGGTCTGTGAGAGATATAGGGTAGTCCCATATACATCTTTCTGTGTATAGTACTTGTAACTTTACGAAGAATGGGCCAAATTTCTTATCATTTTGATGATTCCAGAACCTTGCAGATGCTAGATAATAATAATAATAATTACAGTGCTTATATAGCGCCTAACACTTACTTTGTCAGAAGTCTCTAAGCGCTCTACAATAATGCAGCATAATTACCCTGGCTTTAGCAGTGCAGCTAGATGCCAGATGATCAACCTTTTCTGATCGATTCCACAACGTTTCTTTTACAATGCAATCGCATGACCAGAACTGATCTTTACCTTTAACACCCTTCTGGTTCTAAACAGATGACACAAAAATTTAAAACCATATACGTACATTTATGCCATGAACGTTACAAGTGTCGTCTTAGAACATTGCAGTGCTGTATACAGCATGTGAAACAATGCTACGTGTAGGCTTACAATGTGCAGTCATTTAATTAATAAATGTATCAGAAAGAAGAAAAATAACCAGTTTCATATCCTTACATGTAAATTTAATTAAAATTGAAGTCAGTTTTCAAATCAACAACAAATCAACACCTGCAGATACTTGTTTATCATGATAAAATGAAAGAAATATGAAGTCGTTCAACCAGTTACTCATTATTTGAATGCAGTTGAATACAGATGATAGAGAACTTGATACACAGAAGGTGGCAAGTTAATCCATTAAACAAACAAGGCATGAATGGATGTTTATATCACACATCAAGTCATTCATGCGGCATGCCCATCTAAGGCATTTCCTGACAGTTCTATCTTCAATCATAATGTGCAAACAAAATAAATGTACCGGTAGATGAAGTATCGTGAGAATCCCAGCATATTTTTCAGATAAATTGTGTTTTTAAAAGGAGAGACTTACAATGTACTGGATATGTATGTACATGTATACTCTCTATCCTATAACTTTAAACCATGTAAAAAGTATTATATTATTGAATATTGAATCTTATATCTGACTTCTTGTGAAAATCACTGTTTTGTTGGAAATGAAAAAAAAAAACTGAAACTGAAACTGAAATATATCCTAATCAAAACAAAACCTTTTTTTTACCAGTACCAAATTGGTAAAATTGTGTTCTTTCATTTTGAGCAGTCCTACCATGGCTACAGTACATGTACAAATTAATTTAATTTTTCTATTCATCTTTTTTTGTTTTTCAATCGTATTGCTGTCATAACACAGTTTAAGTACTGTAATTACCGGTTTTGTATATCTTGCTCGTGGAAAATAAGTCAACTTAGAACTTCCTGTGAAGGATCATGCCACCAAACTAGTTGAAGTAAATAAATTTAAGGAAATTATTGTGGGGTGAAAATATTCTTCAGCAATTGACATTAATTTGCACTTGGTATTTTGATAGTCCTCTTTTATCTTGTTGACATTACAATAATAAATGATACATATTTTGATAATAAATTATCAATCATCAAAGTTATAATTTGCAGGCATATATATACACATCAATATTTACCAAGCTATCAATTTGTCAAATACAAATTTATGAATTTCTTGTTGACATCATGCATATTGAAGATTTGAATTACCATATGAACTGCAAATCAAATTTGAATGGAATTTATTAATTTAAACAATATCCCCAACTTCCTCTGGAATTTTTTGTTACAGACTTGGCTTGACTTTGTTTTCTTGAAGAGTTGACCTGCATGTATTTGACTAAACAGCAGGAGTTCCTAGCCATAGGCTCATATATTACCGGTAGCAGCTCCATCTGATTTGGGGTGCAGGGGGATCTAGCCCCCCCCCCCCCCTCCTCAATCACAGTTAAATGAATGATTGGGCCTAAAGCCTACATACAAGAGTATTATTTATCAGAATGTTAAGATTTCAAAAAAACTTATGTTAAACTGTACCTCACATCAAACATGTTCTAATTTATAAAGAATGGAATGCACGCATAAAACATGAATATGACAAAATCCTTAGGATCTTGGGCGCATACATGTATATGTTTTTTTTTATGTGTGTGAGTTTGATACTGATAGTGAATGTTTTTTTTGTTTAATATGAGCTCAAGCGAGAACAAATTGCATTACTAGAAATGAGGGTAACATGTGTTACATGGGTTACACTTCAAAGTCGTAAAATAGTGAAAGTTTGAGATTCCAGTTTCAATCACATCTTTAAATTAAACCCAATTTATCTAGAACCTCAAACTAAAGAGCATAAAATAGTTCACATCCCTTCCTGAATAAGTCCCCTTACTACCTCACATCTTTAGCGCTACTACACCCTTGCCTTGGGAGACATGTCAGCATGGTTTGTGTACAGAGGAGAGAATATAGCAGGTCTTTAAATAGAATTCATCTGATTCATTTTCAGCCATTGATATCCGATACAATGCACTCTAATTCCTGCGGATTAGTATTTTTACCCCCTTAGACTTTCAAGGGAAACGGATGACCATTTCTCTGAATGCACAGTGAGTTTAAAGTGAGTTTAAAGTAGGTTAAAGGTATTCCACCTCGGGTTCAACTATTTTTTCCTTTAATAGAACTGTCAAGTTCTCTCAGACTACAACTGATTTAAAATAAATACAGATCTACATATTTATGCATGCTATTCGCTATTATAAAACTTAAAGTGTCAAAGGAAATAACTAGTTCACTTTAGAGTTTAGACTCGAACCAGAAGGGTGTTATCACATATAATTTTACATAGTGTTTTATAAATATATAGACATGTAAAGTAAACCATGGACCAATATCAAATGGTAAACCAATGTCAATGGTGGGCTTTCACAAATGATTACCCTCACAAATATGAGGGCAGTCAAGTTACAGTACCGGTATAAACGTACGCGCCAGGTTTTGAGCTACACTGGAGCCTACAATACATGTATTGTATGTTTACTGGTAATCGTAACGAGCAGATTCAAGTAGCGATCGTACCATGTCAAAGGTATTTCTTTAATACATTGTGGCAATCTGGTATGCGACAATTCATAATTCCAAATCTGCTGGTATTTTCTGCAAACAACCAATTGTTTTTTCACATTATATGAGTGGATATTATTGTCGGTGTTTCCTGAATTATTGATTTGCTATTTTAGAATGCAGTTGTGAGGTGACCTTTGACCCATGTACAGTAATCAGTAACAACTGCTCAAGGATTTTGGAATGCGAAATGGATTGCAACAGGCAATCTTTTAACTGTCAGTGTCAACTTAATATTGTGTACAATTTTCATCATTTTAATATTTGTATACATGAATACATCTTCTTCTGCTTCTAATTCTTCTTCTCCTGGTAGTCCTGTGTTCCAATCCTGAAGATTATTACATGCAAAATGGTGTGTGCATTGTGCTTGTGCTAAACTGGTGCAGTTGTATCGTGAAGGGTGCAAATACACCTAAACATTGAATGTACATATCAAGGCTGACAACCATTGCTCAAATGATTTGTTTTTTATTTGACAATTTTTTTTTTAGATAGATTCCATCAACATCAACACCACAAGCATCACATATTTTCCTGATAATACACTACCACACCATTCACGATAAAAATGCATATTGCATATCAAAAGTGTCCTCGCATACAAGGTATTTGTCAGCAAGTATATTAAAAGTTAGATCTTTTTAATGACCTTCAAACTTCAAAGTAGTTTTGGTAATCTTTCAGACCAAGGCACTATTTGATCACAGTATCAGATAACAAGAGGCCATTCATTGAAGTTATTCACTACTCGCTGTCGATTGAATGTCAGGAGTAACTTTTTTAGCAAATGGGTCATCCAGTCTTGGAACAGTTTACCAGTGTCTCTAGTAACTGCTACCAGCATTAACTTTAACTCATTTAAATACAGCTTGGATTCTTTTTGGTCAGACAAACACTTTGTTATAGCATAGTCCGACATCCACGCATGCACTGATTTTTAGACCTTTACTAATGTACCAAGTGATCTGACCGGGAGACCTTCAGGATATCCTACACTCACGTATAGATGATGATGATAATGAGGGGAAAGGGATATCGATATTCAGTAAATTAAAAATTAAAAAACATCCATTTACAATGAAAGGCAAGAAAGATGGTTGGATACTGTTGATATCAAACACCAAAAGGAAGAAGAAGAAAAAGAAAAAGAAGATTATAATGTCCTTAATGGACCTGATATAAAAAATAAATAAACTGATCAGCTGCAGTTGTACACAGACCATGAAGAGCTACATGTAGGTTACACGATAACGGTCATATAAGCATCATTAACAAAATCAAAGTGAGATCTACAAACATATTAAATACAAATTCTACAGGTGATAGCGTACAGAACTACAACTGTAAATACAGTATGACTTCTTGATTCAAAAGTCATACTTGGAGTGGTAGTGTTATGTAGCTACCGAAACGACAAAAGCAACTCAGCCAGAACTTCAGGGGCCATGCACCCATCGGCAGGTGGTAGTAACACCATCCGATTACCCCTACTAATTTCGTAATCACAGCTCCTTGTACCGATGAATGTACGAACGACATCTTACCTTATGTGGAGGTTGAAGGACCCTGTAAAGTGTCGGTAATTGATCCTCAAGAGTTAGATATTCATTAAAATGAAAATGTGGGGCTCGAGTAGGTTCCGCAAAGATAGTAGTCGCAAATGGATCCGTATCATTCATATACTGTACTCTGCAAGTGTACGTCGCCATGTTGCCGATTCGTACACATGCAATGCAATGACACTTGTTGGATCAATACACTAGACTCTTGGCGATTGATCCAGCGGTGAAACGGTTCGGGAGTTCGGTGGCTTCGCAATGCACGCCACACGGGAGACCTTCCAACGACAACAGACTGTGGGGGAGTGCTTTTGTAAACAATGACTAAACTTTCCGCTATTTTTAGGAATCTGAAGCCTTGCAGGTCATTAATAGTAGGTCTGTCTATATAGTTTGTTGTCAAATAAAAAGCAACATGTCTCTGGATTTAGGTAGTTAGGAATGAATGGTCGTTTTGTTATATAATGGGCCTTCATGAATAAATAGAGCAGAACGTTATCATAATGAATCATCAAGCCGCAAACTGCGGTCCCGGTGGGGTCACTCCTCCGCAGAAGGTGACGCATATGACCGTTACCACAAATGCAAATACCCCCCTATTGCGATCAATTTCAAGGACATTTTGTGATATTTAACCCCCTTTTTTACGTCAAAACAAGGACAAAATCGTACTTTGGAATACCCCTTATTATAAGATTGTAAGGACACTTTCGCAAATTAACCTCTATTTTACCATATTTCAAGGACAAGACTCGGCTCCGAGAATTTTTCTTCCAGGTTTTCTCTTTTCCCTTTTCCTGACCCCTATTTATCAATTTCGAGGACACCTGTGCACCCCTATTTTCTATATTTCGAGGAATATTTTGTCCGCGGACATTGCTTGAAATTTACTCCTTTTTCCTCGATTTTGGTAACGGTCATGCGGTCCGGAAGTCACATTGAGTGACCCCACCGGGACTGCGGTTAACCCTATTCAATCCATGAAAATAAATTTCATTTATACATAAACTCGACAGAGTAGGGCCTCTTCATTTGTTTTTAAATCTCAACTTCAACCATTTGTGAAGCCCTACCAGAGTGAAATCTACTCTTTAAGAATTCATATCACCATTTACGTTCAAAACAGTGCAGGAATCCACTCTGAAAAGAGTAATTCCGAAACCGCTATACTTTGGAGTGAATTCAACTCAAAAGCGAAGTGATCTCTGACATGACTCCTAAAATGGTGAATCTCGGTATGAGAAGTAAGAAGTGTGCAAAAAAATAACATGGATTGAGGAAATCCAAAAGAGTTGATGAAATGATGAAATTGTCTGCTGTATGGTAAACTTGCCCCGACTATTAATAGAAAGTTTCCAGCCAATCTGTTTTTGCTCTGTCTGATACTGTTTACCTCATAAGTCGTAAATAATGTCATGAATATCAACAAAACATATCCCGTCGTCAATGTTGCCATAAATTCACACGTTCAGTCGCAACCACGTACTAACGCTAAAAATAACACCACAAGCATCCAACAAGCCTGGGGACTGAAACCTCAAGTTCAACCTCGTTACAAACCGGGACCAATAAAATACCATGAACTTGACCCTGCTATGCCACCATGTTTATAGGACTGAACTAAAACGAAACCATCCAGGAAATACCATTACAATAATCTTTTAATATAAAGCCATAACAAGCATGACATTTAAGTACTTGTAAGGCATGTCAGAAAAGATGAAGGGCTCCCCCCCCCCCCCCATCAAATTGGCCCCCGTGTACTCTCTTATACAGATGAGTGGATTTTTTTTTAGGAGTAAGTTGCAGTTGAATCCTCTCCAAAAATATATAGCCATGATCGCGGAATATACTCCAACGTCGTGGTAAAAAAGTTAGAGGAGTGGATTCCGATATTTTCAGCGTCAGTTTCCCACTCCTAAACGAATTGATTCCTAATATCAACCATAAAAGATTGATTTCCACTCTATAATAGTACATTTAGAAATCACTCCGTTCTACATCAGAGCAGTTGGATGGTTGGAGCACCTCGAAATCTGAAGTTTTCTGCATCGGTTCACCTGTCACTGTCACAGAGTAAACAGAGCACGAGCATTTAAAATTTCTTTGTTTTACGAGTTTATTTCGGGCCTGTTTTCATCCTTCAATTTGTTATTGTTTGTTAATCAAAATTTGAAAACAAGAAACGCATTCATAATTAATTGACCTTATCTTAACTTTTTGCCCACGATATAGCCTTCATTTCTGTGAAAGACGTCATCATTACGTTCGTGGAAATGGTATAAAACAATTATTATGATTTTAGTTACTGCCTGAATTTTCATATTTGAAGTTTGATTTCATGCTTGTAGAAATATACGTTACAATATAAGGGTATCGCGCTTGAATACAAACATCATAATTTATAACGAAAATAAATACATATTAAAAAAAAATCATGCTTACGCCTATACACATAATATATGAAAAGTATCACACTCATGATCATCATAATATACACAGTAATCACACTTTGACCTATATAAAGTTAAATCGAACATATTTCAGGAAGTAATTTGTCATTCCCCTAAACAAACATTCATTTGAAGGACGTTGTGCCTTCCCGTTGAAAGATGAATATCCATCAAAATCGTATTTACTCCATCATAGAAACCCGCGTCATTCGAGCACCGTCGGGCTAAAGTTCATTGTACTATTAGTCTATTACCATGATTACACTACAAATTAAATAACTTTGGGGCCAACATTTGAAATCATTTCATTACTTCTCTATTATAGAATGGAAATCACGGGCGCCTTTTTTTTTCCTTGAACTACATTAAAAATGGATCGAGTTAATCTTGTTAATAGCTCCTGCAACAAGTTTTGTCAGCGACATCCAAACGTTAGGCCGAATATTAAGGAAAAAGTTTGAATTCTAGAAATTATGAAAAATAATTTGCAATCGTTTTCATATTTTTCTTCAATATTGTGGAAGACCATCTTTTAGGAAAACTTCCCATTGAAAAAGATGGTTCTTCAAATGCCTTGAGATCTTTGGACCACACTTACATATCACATATTTTGTGACTGGTCCGAACATTCACATTTCTGTGTACAATGTATCTGACTTTTATCAACAACACTGGGCCGATTTCTTATAATTTGTGCGATTCCCAAACCTCACAATATATAGGCCTATACAAAATGTGCTACAAGTCACGATCAACCTTTTCCAATATAGCTTCCACACAGTTTCTTTCATAATGCAAATCGCATGACCAGGACCCTGTTTCATAAAACGTGTTATCAATAACAAATGCTAAATCTCTATGACAAATTTGCTCTCAGCCAATCAAATTCCACAATTTCATTAGCTTATGACAGTTATTATAACTTTTGCAGATGACGAGTTTTGTGAAACAGGGCCCATGACTCAATTTTATCTTTAAGATCTGTAAAACAAGACATATTTTCACCCTTTCCCTGCTTTAACGGTGTAACATTATCTAAGAACAAATCCCAGACTCTGAGTTCATGCCCTTGAACTACTGACACCATAAATACAATGAGAAACTTGATCTGGAAATTCGAACACTAAGCGAAAGTTATGAGGAAAGGGAATAAAAGCAATAAACTACCGGAAAACATTATGTGGGATAAAGTTTTACCATATAACCTGCGCGAAGAAACCAAAATGAAGTCAAAAGAGAAGCAAAACGTATAGAATGACGTGAAGAATTACTGTTTGAAGGCAAATAACTCATCGAAATTCGTATTTCGATGATGATAATCTATTTTTAAGAAGCAGTTTTATAAGATTGTTTAATCAAACATGGTCATTCTGATTTCGAGAGATTTTGAGACAGACTTATTGATTCTGTAGCATCCGATTTAGGATTTTTTTTTATTTCTAAGATATGGTAACCTTGAACTGGTATGATAACTTATGTAAACACGATAAGCAGAGCTGCTGAAGAATGAGGATAAATAGTTTTATCTCACATTTTAAAAGCATTCTTCTCTTGAACTATTGACATTCTCAAAGAATGTAACCTGGAACACCCAAACATACACCCACATGAAAAGACTAGCTTTTAGTTTTAGCGTATCTGCTTCAAGGCGATTTGTGCGAGGAAAACAATAGTTTTTGTGCTTGGAGGCATAGTTAACATGCATCGTTATTGTTTATCTCTCTTGAATCTGACGAAACGAGAGGAGAAATTTATATCACCCTGTCGTGGCAGCATGGTATTTGTCGCTTTTGTTACGTGAAAGTTAGTGGCGAGGTGACAATCATATATTTAAAAGTATTATCAGCTTGATTACAATCATTGATGTCCACGTTGATATCCAGTATCTCATCACAATTTGAAATCATTTTCAACAACTTTCCGACGATTTGGTATCGTTTTTTCTCTTCGCTTTATTGTATTTGTTTGCTAATGAAGTATCAAGTACCGCAAGTAGTGGATTAAACTCAGATGCGATAGGGTTAGTCTAGTTTATAATGCTGTATCTGGTCACAGCTCCATTAAAAGCCATTATAAACTGGGTCGTCACTGGCCCGGTTTAATGTGGATGTTTACCCAATTAGCCAATAACTTTAAATACACGATTTATTATTTATTTAACCATGCCAAAAAGGCAATCGAATTTTCCGACAGAGTTTAACAAAAATTGTTTTTATTTGTGTAAATGTGTCAATGTGACCTGCTATCCATTTACACAACAGTCGTAGTGAAACGCCCAACGATAAGGTCTCTCTTTTATAATTGCATTCTCTATATTATTATTATGCCTTTTTTCATTTGAGGCTCAATGTATTTATCTTATGTCACGACATTTCTCACAAAAGAAACATGAATGTATCAAGTAAGGGTTTATTCTAGAACAGTTGGACACCAACTCCGCCGATACAGACGGATGAGTTGGGGAGCTGCCGCAAATAAATTTCTATGTTTCTATTGTGAAAAGAATTTGAGTGACGTCACAGTGCTAGTTGTGAGGTCATCAGTATTCTCTGAGCTGACGAGCAGTTATCATAACTCTATGACGTCAGTAGGAGAGGATCAACAGCGCCCAGGGATAAAATGAGAATGCATATGGGCGTCGTTAAGAGGGGATGTGGGGTTGTGACCAGCTACGAACCTATAGGGGGCGCACACGACTGATTCCTAGACAGGCGGAAAATCCCCGTTCCTCCCTATTCTCAAAAGCTTAGACTACAGATTTAATGAATTATAACAATATAAGTAAAAAAAGACTCCTACAAGAAAAAGAAAATTATCAAATATTTTCCAGCTATGACATAATGACCTCTATACACTTAGAGTTCAGCC